AGTTTAGTTTTCAATTGTATCAGTAAATCAATTTCAGGCTGTAATTCACTTTTTTCAACTTTTGCTTCCTTTAATTTTCGTACTTTGTCGCCCTGTTAATAAATATTTCAAATTTAGTAAATATGATAATATAATAAAAATTACGTAAATATTAATATGCACTCTAAACCACTGTGGGTTGTTTAAATACACTGAAAATATTGAAACCGCTTGAATTGACATTTGCAAGCATGAATGTTTTTTTTTTTCATTTATACACATATTATTTAATATTTCCGTGAGAAATTGTTTTTAGAATTTGTGTAGTAACATGATACAATTAAAACTAACATGCATAATTATTGATCAACTTTTCAAATTATTAGCATCAACAATAAATATGTAATAATAATGTGTGTTATAGTTGTTATGTACTATATGAATTTATGTTATACTTTTTGGATCACTATTTTAAGGTAGAACACTTATTGATAAATAACTATAAATTGCTATATAATTACCTGTTTGGAAATTTCCTCTTCTAAGTCATCTATAGATATTGGATTAGATGCTAATTTCATTTGTTCTAAGCTTTTCTTCATCTCCAATAATGCTTTGACATATGGTTCCCAATCACTTTTTTGAGCTCCACTTTGCTTTAATTGCCGAACCATATCTCCCTATTGTTAAGTAAGTATAATATAAATTATAATTTTTTTTTTTTAATAATTAAAATCAAATTGCAATGTAGATAACTTTAACATTCAATAAAATAGGTTTGCTTACTTGTTTAGAAATAGCTTCTTCCATTTGTTCCACACTTGTAATTTGTTTAAGATCCAGTCCAGAAGCCACTGCTAGTTCTTTTTCCTGAGATTTCTGTTTCCCAGAAAACCGGCTTTTCAATTGATTGACAACTGATGGATCAATTTTTTCAAATAATGGAGCTGGCTATGTTGTAAATTAAAATAAATTAGTTTTTATTGTTTATAGGCATCAATTTATTGTTGACTAATACTTTTCCAATTTTATGGCCAGGTTGCAAGAAAACTGATACAAAGTTATTTAATAGAAATGTAGAAATATCAACGTTCAACTGTTTTGCAATTATATTAACAGTTTGTGGCATATAAGGTTGTAACATGACGGCTAGTAAACAAGCTAAGTTACAACTCAGTCCTATGACTGTACCTGCTCTGATTCTGAAATATACAATATTATACAAAAATGTTAGCCGTGTAAAATAAATAATACTTTAATTACTTTTCTTCACTTGATCCTTTTATTAACACCCATGGTTTTTGGAACTGCATATATTGGTTACCATGGCGAGAAATCGAAAGTATGAGTCGTAAACCATCTCTAAGTTTAGCCTTGTCTAACATACTTGTGTATTCTTTGAGGTCACGCGTTACTAATGCTAATAAAGTGAGTTCATCGTTTCCTAATTGAATTTCAGGAATAACACAATCAAAAAACTTTTCTAAGAACGATAAAGCTCTGAAATATTTTTTTTTTAGAAATTAGTAACTAATAATTATGTAAGACAGCATATTATTTTTATAAAAAATTATATGTGTGCAAAAATATATACTCTTTATATACTATATACTAATCACCTATTACAAAAGTTTCCTAAATTGTTCAACAGTTCAGAATTATTTTTAGTGGCTAGATCAGCCCAGCTAAATGAACTATCTTGAGATTCAGGACGCACAAACAATAAGTAAAATCTGAAAACATCAGCAGGCAATCCTGTATCTTGAGCATCATTCCCAAATACTCCAATACCACGAGATTTAGAAAATTTACCATCTTCGTAGTTTAAGTATTCTAAAACATAAATATACATAAATAAAACAGGTTAAGCTTAATTTTTTTTAAAACCACAAACCTGTTGCCATTATATGGTTGACCATTGTATAGTTGCGTTCAGTAGCAAACAGGCACGCTGGAAACATAACGGAATGAAAAGGCACATTATCTTTTGCCATGAATTGGTAGTATGTTACTTTAGTATCGTCTTCCGGTTGCCACCACTTGCGCCATTCTGGTGTGTAAACAGCACTCATACTCATGTATCCAATCGGTGCATCAAACCAAACATAAAACACCTATTCACTTAGTTGTAAGAAATATTTTGCAAATAACATAAAAAAATTTTAAGTATTGAAATCAACATCATACCTTTGACTTGAACTCATCGAGTGGCACAGGAATTCCCCATTTCAAGTCCCTAGTGATGCATCTCTCCTTCAAACCATCTTTCAACCAAGATTTAGTTATCACTTTTGCATTATAAGACCAATCATCACCAGATTTATCAACCCAATCATTAAGTTTAGCTTCGACTTTAGGTAAATTCAAAAAAAGTTGCTGAGAACTACGAACAACTGGTGTTTTTTGACAAACCTTACACCTAGGTTTTAAAAGTTCGGTGGCGTTTATTAAATGACCACAACCATCGCACTGATCACCTCTTGCATCTTCATAATTACATAGAGGACATGTTCCTTCAACAAATCGATCAGCTAAAAATCTGAAAAAATTATTAATAATGTCAGGATAATGGTATTCAAAATTAAGATTTTGTCTGCATGTATGGTTTTAAGTAATGTATTTTAATAAATTACTTACCGATCACAATTCTCACATAAAAGTTGTTCCATAGATGCAGTACTGGTATAGCCATTACTGTGTACTTCCTTAAATATTTCTTGAACAATTCTAAATTAAACACAAACCAAATTTTTTAAAACTTATGTCATTTAAATATTATATTAAAATAAAATCTAGAACTATGTAGTTATCATTTTTACTCGGTTTGTTTATGTGATGTAGTTCTACCAAAATGATCAAAACTAATATTGAACCACTTATATATTTCATTATGAATTTTAAAAAACTTGTCACAAATTTGTTGCGGTGTTAACTTTTCTTCTAATGCTTTTGTTTCAGTTGCAGTACCATATTCATCAGTACCACTAATATATAATGTATTCCAACCACGCAATCTACAATATCTATTAAATAAAATAAAAAACCATTGTTAATTTAACTTAAAGGTAAATACTATATAAGAATAACCAACATCATCACATTTAGGCTATTGGAAAATTTAATAGAACTTAATTTATTTAAAATATAGTTTAAACATTGTTAATTTGTCACACTAAAGACATTAAAACAATACATTTGAATTTTAAAATACTATAATAATATGTTTGATGAGATCTTATCGTTAAAAAATTACCTTGCAAAAACATCGGCTGATAAAACACAACCAATTATATTACCAAGATGTGGAACATTGTTGACATATGGTAGTGCTGAAGTAACAAGGATATTTTTTTCGCCTTTAACAGGTAATCTATAGTAAAAATATTAAAATATAAATACATTGCAATTTGAAATTATACTAACAAAAAATAATGGTTAGACATTGACAAGTCATTGTAAAACTATTATAAAGATATAATATTTTGTACAATGTTGTAGAAATATAATACATTATAATATATAAGTTCAAATGAAAAAAAAAATTTTCTTCCATTTAAAAAGCATTTCAAGCCAAGTTTTAGTTATCAATTAGGTATTAAATTTAATAGGTAGATGTATAAAAAACAAAATATGTATATATATATATATGTAATATATTAATTGCATAGCTTTACAAATGTAACTATTATTTGATAATTTAAGGGCCGTTCTTACAATTTCCAGTTAAAGTCAATGTACACTTAACTGGCGGAAATATGCTGGTAATAAAATCTGTTATCAGCTGGTTAGCGTTAACTAATACATAACTGGACGGTGTTCCACGGATCATGGATATTCTATGAACTTAGGAAAACCTCCTAAATTTGAAAATCAGTGAAAGAAAAAAAAAATATTTAGTTTCATCATATTTATACCTACTTTTACTACACAATTATTTTAATTTATATTGAATGATAAACTGACATTTAAAGTGTCGTAAATTATGTAGTTTATAACATAAAATATAATACTTA